CCTTCCCGTCTCCTCTGCAACTTCTTATGCAGACTTTTGTAGGCTGTCAGAAACAATCTCACTTCTGAGGTGTAAAGGCCAGGACACCAGGTGGTTGATTCACAACGAATAAATGCCAAGTTTATTAACAAGTCATAGAATTAACAAATATGGTTAAGTTGAATGGAAACAATAAAGTGTATTGATAAAAGATTAAATTGTAAAAAGCAAAAGTGCTTCTTTCAGAGTACGCCTTGCTCTCGTACGTGTGACTTCGTTCGCTGCTCGTTTAACACTGTCCTTCGTTTACCGACTGTGACACGATCTTTGTCGCAGGAGACGAAAACCACTTTTCCATTTTTCAGTAATAATTATGCACAATATTCAATTTTATTTCTTATAATCGTTATGGTCCTTGGTTAATTAGCTGCTCACTGTAACTAGAGGTTGTCTCTGGTTACTTAGCTGTTCAATGTAACTAGAGATATGTTCGAAGCTACAACTTGTTGATGTGTTTGCAATAGTCCTCGTCGAAACGACTAACATTGGTTTTAGTGCAACTTTTTTACATTGATACCTACAACAAAGACTTAACACGAAACTATCCGACCAAATGTTCCAAAATTCTTCGGACTAAAGCCTGCGGAACTTTCAAACAAAAATTTTGGACTTTCATATTCATATTCATCTTTATTCAGTCTATGATTTACAATCTTACAGACTAGAAATAGGCTAAGAAGTATTCAAGGTGACTAGTATGTGTGCGGTTACGAAAATAGGTTTCGAGAGATGATTTACAAGACTTCTTGGAAACGAAAAGTCGATATCTAAGATCTTTGAGATATTGTTAAATTCCACAAGGCCTCGAAAAATAGGCGCAAAAAATGAGTAGTTAGTCTTAACGGCAGGGACGTAAAAGGGGATGCGAGAGCGAAGAGTTCTGAGAGGCACATTAAAGGTAACCTGCTCAAGAAGAGCAATTCAATTTTCCAACGATACCAAATTTATTAGTTTACACCGGGAGTAATATGAAGGAATCGGATCTGAGAAGTTAAGAGAAGCGAGGGCAAATCGAATAAACACCTTTTGAACTCGCTCAATCCTAGAAGCGTGACAATTATAAATAGGGATCCAGATAATAGAGGCATACTCAAGTTTAGATCGCACCAAGGAATTAAATAATGCATTCCGAATGTAAAGGTCTCTAAAAGCCTTGGCATATCTACAAATAAATGCTTAATTACTATAAACTTTTGGAAGTAAATGTCAAATATGATTTATAAATGAAAAATTCGAGTCAAACACAACGCCAAGATCAACAAATTCACTAACAGAGGTAAGCTGATGGTTTACGAGGTAGTAATTTGAGTTAGGGTATTTTGAGATTTAGATACGGTCATCTTAAAGCACCTTTTACATTCAAAGACAGTTTATTATATTCACACCAATTTAAAAGACGATCTAAATCTTCCTGAAAAAAGAGAACATCAGATGAGAAGGCTATTCTACGAAAGAGTTTTAAATCATCGGCATACAATAAAAAACTGGAGTATTTGAAACAGGAGCTAATATCGTTTATAAACAAGACAAACCATAAGGGGCCAAGAATGCTACCCTGGGGTACACCTGATGTTACAACAGAGGGATTAGATTTACAATCCTCGATATATACAGACAGAGTCCTATTTGTAAGGTAAGACTTTAACCATGCTAGGAAATTAGAGTGAACACCAATGCACTCCAACTTGTGTAGCAATATTAGGTGTGGCACCTTTTCGAAGGCTTTAGAAAAGTCCGTATAAATGGTGTCTACCTGCGGGCCATCTTTGAAGGAAGAAACACAAAATTTTGAAAAAGAAGCTAAGTTAGTGAACGTTGAACGACCAGCTACAAAACCACGTCAGTCGGTTGTTCTACATGTCATTGTTACAACACTGATTTGGCTGAAAGTTCATTAAACAATTATTCAAATCTGTTCAATTAAGAATAGATACTTCGTCTTCAAATATTTCATTGTTTACTTATTTTTTTAAGAAATGTATACATTTATTTGGTTTTACGTTTTATTTTTGTTGACAAATGCAACCCTGCCTATCGTTTGACACTTTTCATGAATTTGCTGCAAGAAAAACTCGGGACTAAATTTTGAAACTCCAGAAACCAATTGAGAATGACTTTGGACTAAATCGTGCAAAGCCTGCTAATCCTAGATGTTTTGAATGGCTCTAAAAGCTTCAAAAGTGAAAATAAACGAAAGCTTCGCGCATTCTGTACACCAAAAACAAAGACAGTCTGCAAAGCATGCAACACAGAATCCGCGGTGAGCCTAAAGTAGAACTTTGCATCTCCTTATTTTTTAATACGAAAGTAGATTTTTAGTTTATGAAGTTTAACTTGATTTTGTTAAAACCTTTTGGGATATGGCTCGATCTCATAAAATAATTATTTAGCAATTATTTATACAATTAAAACAAAAACCAAACACAAACTGTTTTAGTAATTTTGAATTTAAATAAAAAAATTATAATAGTTTCACAAGCAACCACTTTTAGTACTTTTAGTGGTACTGCACCTTAAAAAATGATATTTAAAATCATGGTAGTCGAAACGACTAACATTGAGTATCACATATAAAAAATTTCCATGGTTATGCAGGGTTAAAGATCGCATTTATTTTTGTGGAATTATCGTTATCACGGCAACATGAACACAACGTTTTAGTGAGCAGCAATTTTACGTTGACGTGACGTCGATGTCGATACGAAATTATGTCGACAAAAAATTGATATTGGCAATGACAACCATATTGGTGTTTATTAACTTTCAAATGACATTAAGCATGTTCCGATGTAAATGGTATTATCAATTTTTCGACTACCCTATATTAAAAAATATTAAAAAAAATACATAAAAATCACTTGCAATGATGCTCTTAACGCGTATGCATATACTATTATTACATATTTCTAAAATATTTTCGCATTTTTTCAGCAACACAACAGAAACTAATAGAGCCGAATGAATGGAAACACTTTCTACTCAAAAGTATTAGATAGTAGGAATTCATATTAGGATCGAATACAACTTTCGAGTAGTTTTAACTTTTGAATCGAACTACATAGTAACCTCCCAGTATTCAGCGATTCCAAAATTGCATCACAATTGCACACGAATAATATGTACAAATAACGCATAAGTAGGCAATATATGATTTAAAGTAATATTTTTATACTAATAATATTACATGTAAATTTAATTGTTTTGGTTATTGACTGAGCTGTTAAAATACGGTTATTGGTCGTATAAAAAATAAAATACGGAGATAAATTGATTTGCCATTTTTAAAAACTGGGTTATATAGAAAGGAGGAAAAACAAGAAAACATAAAATGAAAATTGGGAAAAATATGTAGAATTGCATGGACAAAAAGGGAATAGGCTCACCTAAAAACTGGCAACACTGGACGCAACAGGAGTTTATAAACTAGGCAGGGCTTTACTCGACTCGTGCTCAGAGTGCGCGATTGAGGACCCCCCAAGAGTCGGATTCAGTAAAGCCGTGCAACTGTAACTGCATACCCAGAATAACGACTTTGTACGACGTAATGTTGTTGCTAATTTCAGTCGATAAGAAATAAATATCGGTCGTTACCAATTTTCATCGAGGGCTCCGTTTGCTCCAGAACAAATCTAAGCTGCTTTACTCATGCGAAAATAATCTACAAACCTGTAAAAGAGGAGAATATAATTGACAAACTAAGAATATCATATTGGTTATAGCAATTAATCAAAAAAATCTTGTACATACTTTCTATTTGCTTTATTACTTTTCTCGGAAGCCGAAAGATTGGCTTGCTTTCACCATCACTTGAACGTTCACTTGAATCCGATATAAAAAACATATTTATGTGGAAATTGTAAATGAAACACCACAGAAAAGTAAAGAACGGCGAATAAAATTTAACCCGCCTGCCCAATTGTTCCCTTTTTGCATCGCTACTTTTTTCATTCCGTTGATCGTTCTCTCCGCAAATCATTACAGCCGCATTAGTTAGTTACAGAGGGCGAAAATAATTATTATCCTTATATTATGATTATTTTCAGATGGAAATTATTTACGTCTTTTCATAATAATTATATGGGATTTTTAATTTTCTCGTATCTCCGAATTATTGGAATTTGATTAGCTAACATCTGGTAACCCTTTGCAAAAAACTAAACCACGTAAAAGCAAAGCCCTTTAATTTGATTCCTCATTTTTGAAAATCGAACGAACGATTCAGATTTGATGACATGAACAATCGTGGCGTTAAATCTCCGAACTAAGAAGTTCCATTTCAATAAAAGTCCCATGTAACTATTAAGAGAAGGCGCACAAAAATCATTTCCGTCTTGAAACAAACGTCCCGCGGGCCGAAAAAAAAATTTAAAAGAAGACGAAAATAATTTCTATGGTAAAATACTCCATCCGCGAGACGTGAAAATAATAAAAGTCACAGATAATGATTAGGAGAAGATGAAAAAGTTTTTAAGCTAATGATTTTCGTCTCAGGAGAAGAAAACAACTTTTCCATTGTTCAGTAATAATTATGTAAAATATTTAATTTTATTTCTTATAATCGATGATGGTAACCTACCGAGTGGACGTGACATTTCACAGAGTGCAACAAAGTGATAAATCAATCCAAAAAACAGTAAAAGACAAGAAAATAATACAGTGAATATTTAACAACAATTGACACTAAGGAGTGCTTTAAAAGTTCTGAATGAAAGTGAAGCTTGATATTTAAAATTAAAAATTTGTACCTGCGCGAGTGATAAATTATCAAGCGAGACTCCGCCGAGTTGAAATTAAACAAACAAATGTGCTAGCAACAAACCAGTAGTGGATGTACAGGCAGCCTAAAAGTATGCTATGTTTTGGGCACTTCTAAGTATTGACACTACTTCAGGGTTGCCATAGTATATTTATATTTAAAAAAATAAAAAATAAAAATACCCCAAAAACACCCCAGTTTCAAAATGTCCTTAAATCGTACCCCTCCCAAAGGGGGAGGGCAGGAATCATCTCAGCCACAACAACAACAGCATAGACAACAAAGGTCACAACAGCAACAAGAATCCCAACTTCCTCTGCAGCCCGAAACACCGCAGAAATCACAGACACAACAGGAAAAGCAACAGCAACAACCGGAAAAGCATGAACAGAAACAGCAACAACAACTGTCGATCTCAAGACGGTCACCAAATTCGTGGAGCTCACAATGCCCCACCTCGGCCAATAGTAAAAATCCAAATATCCAGGATCAAATTGAGCTACTTCAAAAGCAATTGCAATTACTGTACCAACAGCAAGCCTCAAATGATGAACCTACCCCAGGACCCATGGACCACAGTAGAACCCAAAAAACGGCCCCGAGAAAGCTCAGGTAAGCCCTCAAATACCAAAAAACAAGCAAAACTTGATAAGTACTGGCTAGGCGAATCCCAGTCTAAAGAAAATAGGTTTGCTCATGAAATAGAAGACAATGAAAACCTAAAGCCCAAAGAAAATAATCCCAAGCCCCCACCAATCTTCGTTGATAAAGTAAGCAACATTACCCCCTAATGAAGCTTTTATCCGAAACTGCTCTAAGTCTGTACGACTTAAAACTCATAAGCAATGAGCAAGTTAAAATACAAGCAAAAACTCCCGAGGCTTACAAAACAATTGTTCAGCAACTAGAGCAAAAAACACTGAGTTTCATACACACAAGCCAAAACAAGAAAGAAGTTTCAAAGTTATACTCAGAAATATGCACTCGTCTATTGGCACCGAAGAAATCGCTGAAGCCCTACAGAATCTCGGCCATATCCCTTTTAACATTTACAATATGAAACACAGAAACACGAAAAAACCGCTACCAATGTTCATTGTAGAGCTATAAGCAAACCCTAATAACAAGGAAATATACGATATCAAATATCTCTTCAACACAAAAATTGTATTTGAACCCCCTCGCCCAAAACGCGAAATCCCACAATGCGCTAACTGTCAACAGTATGGACACACAAAAGCATACTGCCGTAGAAGACCGGTATGTATTAAATGCGCTGGCCCCCACTTGTCTGCAGATTGCTCGCGCAAGACAAAATCCAACGATGTTAAATGTGCCCTGTGTGAAGGAAATCACCCAGCAAACTATAAAAGCTGCATGGTGTACAAAAATCTGCAGAAACTTAAATACCCACCATTAAGAAGAATGGAGGACAACAATCCCAAAAGTATCAGCCAGCAGCAATCGGCTCCACTTTCACCCAATCGAGTCTCGCAACCGCCCCGAAATTTACTTTCTTACTCCCAAATGTTGAAAATCACACAAGATCCGAGTCCTAGTAACTCAATCCTTCAATCAAAAGAAAACGCCTCTGATGCCTCAAGAGAAATGCGAGAAATGATAATGCTTCTCAAGCAAGTTATGCAACAAATCACAACTATGATGAATCTTCTCGTCACCCTTACGACGAAGTCCGGCATCCCTACAATCCCATGAATATTCTCCTGTGGAATGCTAACGGCCTATCGAAATACGTACTCGAGGTTAAAACGCTACTCAAGTCTAATAATATAGATATTCTCCTAATATCCGAAACCCATTTCACCGAAAAGATCTATTTTCAAATACCGAATTACAAACTCTATCACACAATGCATCCCGATAAAAAAGCACATGGTGGCTCAGCTATATTAATAAAAAACAATATTAAACACTTTAATATTAACTCATACTGCACAGAAGCTATCCAAGCTACTAATATAGTTGTCGAGGACTTGAAAGGCCAAATAACAATCTCTTGGAGATCAGCACCCATTCTAAACAAATCACAGTGTACAAGAATCTCTTCTCTTTTAAAAGAAAAACTGACCAAAAAACGCCAGGCTAGAAAGAGGTGGCAGCAGACTAGACATCCCCAAGATTAAATACGCTAACGAGAGAGCTCAAAGAAATCTTGCAAAAAGAACGCAATTCCCAACTTCATCATTACCTCAGTAACTTAGATGCAACGGCTGCCAGCGATTATTGCCTCTGGAAAGCAGCAAACAAATTAAAGAGGCCAACTCTGGCACAACCCGCCATCAGAATGGAAAACAACCAATGGGCTAAAAGTGATCTAGAAAAAGCAAGCACATTTGCACGTCACCTAAAAAATGTGTTTGCTCCTCATGAAATTGAACCCTCTCCCTATACTGCACAAAAAGTAAGACAGACTCTCGAACAACCCTACCAAATGGACCCACCCATAAAAAATTCTCAAAAGCTGAGGTTAAGGAATCGAACAAAAAACTCAAAGCTAAAAAGGCTCCCGGTTACCATCTAATCACTGGAGAAATATTCAGCCTCATTGCGAGAGTCGTGCCGAATGCAAGTCGTTTTTCGAGAGTCGAATCGTATCAAAAATTTCATGTCATTGCCTAAATTTTCGACTCGACTAGTGTATTAAAACGGGAAAACTTGGCAGCACTGCATAGTTTTCGATGATTTTCGTCGTTTACTTATTTCAGCACGACAGTAGACAATGCCAGTGTTGTCGAGTCGTACAATTTAGCCTTATTTACGACTTACGCAATGAGGGTGATTAAAACAGCTCCCGGAAGAAGGAATCACTTTCCTGACTTATATTTATAACGCAATTCTCTCATCTGGTTTCGTTCCACCTCAATGGAAAGTTTCCCAGTTAAAAATAGAAAATGAAAAAAAAATGGAAATGGAAAAAGTGCAGACAGGGTTGAGTCATATCGCCCAATCAGTTTGGTACCCATCGCCTATAAAATTCTGGAGACTCTTTTTCTCAAAAGATTGATGCCAGTAATAGAACAAAGAAAGATAATCCCTAATCATCAATTCGGTTTTAGGAAAAAACACAGCACAATCGAACAAGTTCACAGGCTTGTAAACTGCATTCACACTGCATTCGAACACAAAAAGTATTGTACAGCTGCATTCCTCGATATATCTCAAGCTTTCGATCGAGTATGGCCTGACAGCTTACTTTACAAAATAAAGAGTACCCTCCCGATAAACTATTATATCTTTATCGAGTCCTATCTTAAAAATCGATTTTTCTTTGTTAAGCAAGGCGAGGAGCAGTCTGAACTCTACGAAAGTTCAGCTGGTGTACCTCAAGGAAGTGTGATGGGTCCCATCCTTTACCTGTTATACACATATGCTTTACCAGCATCCGAAGGAGCAATTGTTGGTACATTTGCAGATGATACTGCAATTCTCGCAATGGACACCCTTCCAAAACTCGCTTCGGTTAAACTCCAAAATGGCCTCAACAAAATAACACAATGTCTGAAAGACTGACGAATTAAACCAAATGAAACAAAGTCTGTCCAGGTTACGTTCTCCCTTAAACGTAAAACCTGCCCGCCCGTAAAACTCAATAACGTGGATATTCCACAGCGTGATACGACAAAATACTTAGGCATGCACCTCGACAGCAAGCTTACGTGGAAAACTCATATTTTCACTAAACGCAAAGCACTGGGAAAGAAGCTCAGAAATTTGCATAGGTTACTGAACCCGAAGTCTCAAGTCTCACTCGAGAGTAAGCTCTTACTCTATTCATGTGCCTTAAAGCCAGTATGGACATACGGAATACATTTATGGGGCTCTGCAGCAACCTCCAATATAGAAATACTCCAAAGATTCCAATCAAAAACTCTTAGAATGATTGTGAACGCTCCGCTCTATGTCACAAACAACCAAATACACCGTGGCCTTAAAATCCCTACTGTTGCTTCCGAAATTAAAAAGCACGCCTTGACGCACCGACAAAAAATTCATGATCACCCAAATCTTCTTATTTCTACACTCACTTCTCATACAGTGTCATTCCAGCGCCTTAAAAGGAAATCAATATTAGATCTCTAATAACATTGCGAATAGATTATGGTTGCGCAACTGGGTGTACTCCATACATGATTATTTTCTTATTTAGTATTTAAGTTTCATATATTGATTAATGTTAAAAAGAAAAAAACAGATCGCAATAAAGATATATGAGCTCAAAAAATATAAAAATTCTTTTAATCGTTATGGTCTCTGGTTACTTAGCTGCACGGTAACTAGAGATATGTTCGGAGCAGGGTTGTTGCGAATATTTGCATTCGCAACCGCGGAGCTTCCGCATTAATTTTAAAATTCGCATTCGCAAAAATCAATGCGGATCTTTTGCGAATGCGAATATTGAAGGGACCGTAAATTACAGTTATATTTTTTACGAGTTAAACTTGGCCAAATATTTTTTATTCCGAAATAGAAGTACTTTCCGGATAATAAACAAACCGCTTATCCAAATTAAACAAGTTTGGTATCCAATGAAAGAGGACTTAAATAGCTTTAAAACTGAAATGTCTAAAAGAGGCAAAAAAATGTCAATAAAAAATTTTAATTAATTACCACAGAACAAACATTGGGCAGGTATGTATTTACATGAATATCTTTAGTATTAAGTTACAAAAAAATTTAAATAGAGGTGGTAACCTTCATTCGTTATTTCTGTCTAAAAGCTATTTCAGTCCTCTTTCATATGATACCAAATTTGTTTAATTTGGATAAGCGGTTTCTTTATTATCCGGATAGGACGTTTATTTCGGAATAAAAAATATTAGGCCAAAAAAATATTATCGGAAAAAAATAACTGTTATTTTCGGTACCTGGAATATTTTGCAAGTGCACAGACGTATATCTAACCAGTCACAGAAGCATTAAAAATGAGCTACAAAAACTTAAATCGGAAAACGCTGATGACGTGACAAATTCGGAAACAACCAAACGAATGAGAATGAAGAATTCTTTCGAAAAAACAGTGTTTAAACAACGATTATGCCATGATGCTAGATTGTGAAGATGGAAGTCAGAAGGATACATCCGACATTTGCAGCCCCGATGAAATTCTCAAAAAGTAATTATTGCACCGCAATAAAAATAAATAAATGTAACTGCACTGTCAATCGAAAAGAATTTACAATTTTGCCAAGTTTCAAGTTTGTCGCCTCGAGCGAGTAGTTATATAGTGGCGCAGGTTTGACTTACGACCCTTCAAAAAGTTTTTATTAAGTACAATGTTCCAATTTTTAAATTCCAGTACTAAAAAAACATTCAGTCTTATCATGAGTTTAATTTTTCCCGAACCGGTTCACTTTTCTCTTTTGGTTTTCATGTACATATTTACGATGGGCGGAATACAAATTTTATGGTGAATTTTTTTCGGGCAAAACTCAGGATAAGGCAGATTATTAAAAATTATTAACCTTTCCATTTTTTATTTACCTAAATCACCTAATTTACCCACCTAAATTATTTCTTAAAAATACATGACATCCGCATTCGCATCCGCATTCGCATCCGCGGATGTCTAAAACTCCACATTCGCAACATCCCTAGTTTGGAGCTACCACTTGTTGATGTGTTTGCAGTAGTGCTCGTCGAAACGACTAACAATGGTTTTAGTGCAACTTTTTACATTGCACACTGGCCGGAATTTAAATTTTTGTTGGCATAAATTCTAAAAAGAAAGTTTTAATTTGCAAACTTCGTACATATGTTCTTCATGCTATTAGCAAGTTATGGTAAAACTTTTGGGCCGATCAGATAACCCACACTCCCCGTTTTCCCCTCTCCCCATATATAACGTTGCTTTTGAACGATGACCTTTTTCAAAACTTTTTAAAAACTTGCTTAAACCTCTTTAATGTGGCACCCATATTGTGATACATATTTCAATTATCTAATCGCCACAATTCAAGTTAAATTTGCTTAAACACGCAACCACGATGGGGCAACCCTACTAAATATAGTTCTGAATAAAGTCTTTCAAACGTATTTCGATTGATACCAATCTCCTTCAAACACCTCAAAAATAGCTTAAATATTCAAACTAAAGATTTCTTAGCACTCTTTCATTTCGACTTTTCAAACAGGGGGCAACCTTTACGAAAAGATAAAAATGTATTGCACATCTATAGGCCAAGCTCTTGGCACCTTAATTTTTTTTAATTAAATGAACTGTGCAAATCTGATGTCATTAACAAAAAATTCATATGTATATGTAAGGTAGTAAGTTTTAAAAAAGTGGCAACCCCACTAAAAAAATAAAGCCTTATTGCACATCCGGGGACCGTATCCTTTCACTTTGCACCTCATTTATAGTCCAGTTAACTGTGAAGATATTATAAATTTTAAAATGGTGACAGCCCTACTATGAAGATAATACATTAATGCACATCTAGAGGCCAAGCACCTTAATTTGACACCTTATTTTCTGTAATCTAACGAACGACAGATGGCAACCCTATAGAAATTCTCAGGCCTACAGATAATACCTCGTATTAAAAAATGTTCACAAATCCGTTCAGTAGTTTTCAAGATTAACGTGGTGAAAAAATATTGAATTTGCTTTATTCTATGTAAGGAGGATACATAGATTTCTACACGTACTTTGCTTAAAATGTTAAATTTTGGAAAAGGAGCGAAAGTTAGCAAAAACTGTTATTACTCAAATAAAGGGTGCATTCCAAAACGTCAAAATACAAAGCATCAGTCTCTTTTATTTCTAAACCGAACTAGAAGAAAAAGTCTAGCTTGCGCAACCTAGTTAAAAATTAACATCTAACCGTGGTTGCGCACATTGGGCATTACAATCTGCTGAGGTTTAGAAATAAAAGAGACTGATGCTTTGTATTTTGACGATTTCGAATGCACCCAAAATCTCATTATTATCAAGCATTTTTTATTAGTTCGTGTCATAACTTGCCAGTTTGCTAGTTCTACTTCACAGAACACAAAAATATTGTTTAGTATTTTTCTTTAAATAAACATTAAATAACAACAAACAAACACACACACGATATGCACATTAACTAACTCATATTAGAAATACCTTGACCTTTTCCATATCTAATTTTGTTAATTTATATTAAAGCAACCTTTCACAAGCGCATCACAATTGACTAATAGTTTTGCACCAATTCTGACAAAATAACAGCTAGTCATACACATGACTTTGAAAGCGCACTGAAAACACAGTGTTGAAACTTCAAATCTGTTTGGAAATTTTCTTATATGACATATGTACTTTAATAAAAGTAACTGATATCAAGAATATATTGCTATAAAAATCTTGAATTTATGCCAAACAAAAATCCAATTCCGGCCAGTGTGCATTGATACAACAAAGACTACACGAAACTATCCGACCCAATGTTCCAAAATTCTTCGAAATAAAGCCTGCGGAACTTTCAAACAAAAATTTTGAACTCTCAAGTGAGATTAATGGAAGACTAACTACAATTGTGCACGGGAACGCAAAAAGCACTTCTTCTAGAGAAAACGTCAGTCGGTTAGTCTACATGTCATTGTTACAACACCGATTTGGCTGATCCTTAAACAATTATTAAAATCTGTTCAATTAGGGATAGTTACACCGTCTTCAAATATTTCGTTGTTTACTTATTTTTTTTTAAGAAATGTATAGACTTATTTGGTTTTACGTTTTGTATTTGTTGACAAATTCAACCCTGCCTATCGTTTGACACTTTTCGTGAATTTGCTGCAAGAAAAACTCGGGACTAGCTCCGGGGTATGGCTCGATCTCGTAAAATAATTATTTAGCCATTATTAATACAAATAAAACAAAACCCAAACACAAACTGTTTTAGTAATTTTGAATTTAAATAAAAAAATGATAACAGTTTCACAATCAACCACTTTTAGTGGTACTGCACCTTGAAAAATTATATTTAAAATCATGGTAGTCGAAACGACTAACATTGGGTATCACATATAAAAAATATATATCCATGGTTATGCAGGGTTAAAGATCGCATTTATTTTTGTAGAATTATCGTTATCACGTCAACATGAACACAACGTTTTAGTGAGTACCAATTTTACGTTGACGTGACGTCGATGTCGATACGAAGTTAAGTCGACAAAGAATTGATATTGGCACTGAAGACCATATTGGTGTTGATTAACTTTCAAATGACATTAAGCATGTTCCGATGTAAATGGTAGTATCAATTTTTCGACTACCCTATATTAAAAAATATTAAAAAAATACATAAAAATCACTTGCAATGATGCTATAAACGCGTATATACTATTATTACATATTTCTAAAATATTTTCACATTTTTTCAGCAACACAACAGAAACTAATAGCAGCTCTGTGGTAATCAAATCGATTATTACTAGTATATCGCACGAAAAGACTAATGGAGAAACGGAAACAACAAAGACCACCAAGTGTGAAGAAAGCCAGTTTTAAATTCAAAATGTCGACGGCAGAAATATCCGAACTAAATTCAAATAATATAAAGGTTTTGTCACCTTTTTTGCAATATGTATTTCTACTACTTAAGACTCATCCCCTGTCGTCTATTATAAGGCCCTTTCTGAAATGTTAACATAACTAAATTGTCTTGTTTTGGATCTTACATATTAATTTAAGTTTTCTCATTCACATATCTATGTATAATTCTAGTTTCGAACGCAATCACAATTTAGCAGGCAATCCTTTACAAGCGACTTTGACCTGTAGCCACTACCAGCATATATGAGTATATATGTATGTATGAGGGATGTTGCGAGTATTTGCATACGCATTCGTTGTGCGAATGATTCGCATCATTTTGCGCTTTCGCATCGGTATTCGCATCAAATGATACGAATATTTTGCGAATGCGAAAGTGTATATGGGCAGAACGCGCAGTTAGCGACCACTAAGCACACAATCGCAGCGTTACGCACATACATCCCTGTGAGAAAAATCTCTAGCTCTGAACCGGTGCGCTTCTAGTACATTTAGACCCAGTACTGGTTCGCGATAAATCTCTTTTGCATGCGAACAACCTGCGATTTTAACATGGTGATGTCCTAGGAAGTGTCATTCGCCCCCTGCTGCATCCTTTTTTCGATAGTTGCAAACTAGTTCTAAATTCTATAGTTCCAAACCAGTTCTAAAATCGACAGACGAAAGAAAAAATTATCATGATTTTTTAATCTTTTTGGTTCTTTCGTGTGTGCGATTTTAAATTATTTTCAATGAAATGTATATTCAATTTGAAATTAAATTTGTTTTAATGATTGTAAGAAATGTACGTTTACATACCTTTGGCTGTAGCTAAGTTTGCAGAGGGGCTTGCTGTTATTGGTTAGATTCCAGACGGTCCCAAGATGTTAAAATGTTAACATACATTTTTGTTTTGTATTACCAAACTATGAAAAAGCATCTGCGAAGTGCAGACTGAAAGCGTATTTGAACGAAAAAGCCGCCAAACACATATCTATGTAAAGTAAACAAACCCCCGCTGCATCCCTTTTTCGATAGTCCCTAACTAGTTCTAAATTCGACAGATAAGATCTAGTTCGTTCTGCGTCCCTTTTTCGACAGTTCCGAACCAGTTCTAAATTCGTCACCTTAGATATCGATTTCTTATGAAAAAAGTGAAATAAAATAGTTTTTAAAAGTACCACATTTCGCTGATTTTGAACTGGTGCGGATCCTGTTATTATCGGTCTGGTTCGTTTTTGGCGATAAAGATCTAGTACGGAACTAGAAATTTGATTCACAAGTCCGCGGTTTCCCTGCAGGGATATGTATGTTAGCGGTTGTTTGGTATTTTACAGGCATAACAACCCTTTCAGTGCTATTCTTATTTTAGGTAGTTGTATTAAATTAATACTATTAATATTTCCATATTTTAGTTAATTTTTTTACTTTATTCGTCGAAAGTGAGCAATTGTTCAGTGCAGCCGGCCTTGTAAACGAGCCTCTAAGAATTCCTTCATGGGAGAAAAGGCAGCAAAATTACTTTTTCTTAAATAAAATATGCCCCTTTTGAACTTTGACTAGATTAAAATACTGTATAGGCTTATCACTGGTTCAATTTTCTAATAATTTATACAACGATGACTTAAGTGGATTATAGCTTTTTTAACCCTCTCCGACTGATGTTGTAGTCTGTTAGACACCGAATGTGACATTTTTCCTGAGTTTCAATAGCATTGATTACTAAAAACGCCTATTTTTCGACATAAAGCTTATTTATATGACTATTTCATTAATGAGTATTTAAAATATTGATAGAATTTGCACTTTAAATTGAAAAATTGATCTGAAAATTGGTGTCGGAGAGACTACACGTCAGTATAATAGAGAAACTTCGGTCACGTTAGTAGCAGAGGGTTGATGTTATTCGCATTCGCGAATGTGAAAAATATGACATTCGAAACATCGCTAGTATGTATGTATACATATGTACATACATATATACATACATATGTATTTGGAACGTACGAAACTATTGAATTCATACATAGATTTTACAATGAATGAATATTAATTAAACGAAATGCAAAAACCAGAGTACAATATATAGATTGCCTTACTTACAATTAATTATTGAACAATTTTCAGGTACAATATTATAATTACATCTCATTGCAAGAAATGCCACGAATCGAATTTTCTTTTCAAATTGCAATTATCGTACACATAAACACTAAGTTTTATAACACTATTGTGTGTCTATATATCGATATAAGTATGTATGTACGTTTAGCACTCACTAACTCTAGTATTATTATAATGTTTGTATTACATACATTTACGCTAGCGCAGTTACTTTGACATCAAAAGAAAACTTCTTCCATTACATTATAAAAAAAAATTTATACAAAAGAAAATCATCTAGCCAGCTACACACTAAAATAATGATAAACTGTTTTGTGGTTATTGACAATTTTTGAAATATATGTGTAAACCCTGTTGGCATATACACATATTATGTGTTAGATAATACATAGATATATGGAAGTGTGTATATGTGTGTATGTACGCTATTTAATCATAAAGTGTTTCTAAACTCACACTTCTTTATATTTTACATTTCAAGTATTTTTAGACAATTTGTATAAAAAATTTGCAAATGTACATATATAATGTTTATTTAATGAATACATACTATGTTATCGAAAATCATTAGTTTTCGGAAATTTATTTCAATAAAATTGTAAAGATACACAGCGAAAATGGTCCTTAACGACTTTATTTTAAAAATATTTTATTTGAGAGCAATTTCAGCAATCCGTGCAATGTTTAATATGTCTTCATATTTCAAAACACCAAGCCATCAATGGAATAGTAAGTAATAAATTGAAAACTGCTTTCGATTCGCGACTCAGCTAGCGACGCACATACAGTGTAATGCGAAAATAAACATATGGAGTCTGAGGGAAGGCAAATTTAAAACGATTTCTTCAGTTAATAGAATTATGGATTACACACAATTTAAACTAAAACGCTAATTTCATTAGTTAATAACCAGTCGCCATGTACTCCTAAACTAAAACATACTCGTTGTAAACATATGGCACGTTCCACGGTGACGGGTGTGACATTTCAACTCACATTTTAAGGCTTAATTCTTAAACTATAATATAAAATTCTTTAAAACCAGTATTTTCTAATAGGTTTCGGAGATACAAAACAAATTAGTTCAAACAAGTTATATGAATTTCAGTCACTGTGACGGGTGTGACGAGTACGCTAATGAAATTAGTTACTGTTTACTTTTATCAGAGTTTTTCTGCTAATTATGTCTTCTGCTTATGATTTTAAATAGTTCGTTGTATAGTTAAATAAATGTTTTCAACATTTACGCCAAAGTTGCTTACCTCCATTATAGATTACTAACAGACCCGGCGAACTTCGACCCGCCCAAAATTAATTTTTTTATTGAAACATTTTGTTCAACGTTTTCGCCAGCAATTGACGTTCACTTTTGGTCTTGTGGCCGGCAGTAGGCATATCCTCCAGAACGATCTTGTTCGATGGTGAATCGTCTTTGAATCTGTATAGTATAGTTGGTGGCAATTTCCAAACTGGAGAGTATCATTGGTCCTCAGAAATCCAATACCTTAATATCTTACAATTGTAAGCATTCATCAAGAATTGTCTTTATTCTGTATAGTCGCCGTAAATCAAGGACCGCAATGGTTCTGATGGTTGATTTAACGGTGGTAATTTGACTTTGTTCCCTGGTGCCTCCGAATGACTTCACTTCACGATTTTTAGCAATAACTCGGCCCCAGCGCCACCTTGCGTATCTTTTTTGTAATAGTATTGCCCCTATCGTTACCAATACACATATATCTTGAATATGAGTCAAATCGGATCACAAATACGAATATTGCGTAATAACTCGACTCCAGCGCCTCCTGGCGTTTTAAGTTGTGAACCTAAACTATACAGGGACCTACTCAAACACATACAAAAATTTCATAAAAATCGCTCCGCTCGGTTAGAAGGAGTTCAGTGTTTGTGACACACGTACCGAAGAATTATCTACAGATCGGTAAAAGTTTCAATATGTTTGGAAGACGACACGCCCCCTTTTCCAATAGCCCCCTCTTTTCTCCATGATCGGGGTTGATTTTTAAAATCTCAGTACAAAGTTCTAGGACTCTACCACAAATACTTCCAGAGATAAACGGTATGAAAAATTCGATATGTATGGGTGATGCCATGCTCCATCAATATATCGAAAGCCTTCAGTAGGTGTCCAAAATTTCAAAAAAAAATTGGTACAGCCGTTCGCGAAATCACCTCTTATAAAAAGAAAGAGCTTCTTTTTATATAATTAGTATAGATATCACAGGGCAACACTGATTTTGATGCGGCAAATCTAAAAGCTGCCGGGAGTTCTAGCGTTAATTTAAGCCTAAGTGAAAGGTTTTATCACCTTTCGTTTCCCTGCTAGGGCTTCTCTAATATTGCAAAAGCTGCGAATTTTTGACACTTTAACCACGTTTTTCTCAAAACCTAGAGCTGATGGAAACTTTGTACTTACGGACAAAACAGTCTATCTATTTTCGTTGGCCAGTGTAATAAGTATTGTTAAATAGCCAATATCGGAAATAAGATTTTTTCGGATAGATCGGTCCCTGGTCCACTTAACGGAAAATAGGATCCTACAATGTAATCCATTTATAATAGACCCGCTTAAGATGGAAACTCTGTTAATATGTACCTATTTGTCAAGTCCTAGTTCAAACATATGAAAAAAAACTCAGTTAAAATAGACTCGGTTATAACGGGCCAAGGCCAAATAAAAAATATAATCTCTGCAATAAACAAAGTTCGGTAATTCCCCGAATTCAGTAAAGAGAGGCAACCGTATCTGCGACAGAAAACGTCTATATACTTAAACAAAGTTCATTGGTTCACCGAAATCTGCCAAAAT